CCCCCCCCATACTGTACGGGGACCCCAAACTGCACAAGGACACCCCAACTGTACAGGGACCCCCAAAATGATAAAGGGTCGCCGAACCACACAGGGACCCCCTAACTGCATAGACATGACCCAAAACTACACAGGAACCCCCCAAAACTGTGCAAGGATGCACCAAAACCACACAGGGACTCCCAACCGCACAGAGATGCCCTAAACTGCACAGGGATCCCCCCCCACCTACACCATATGGCGACCCCAAATAGGACAGGGACCCCCTGAAACTGTACAGGGACCCACAAACCACACAAAGACCCCCTCAAACCATACAGGGGCCCCAGACTGCATAGGGACCCCTCAAACTGTACAGGAACCCCCTCAAACTTATGTAGGGACCCCCTGAAACCATGCAGAGAGCCCCCCAGACCCATACACAGATCCCCCTCCATGTGTATAGGGACACCTCCTGCCACTGTATAAGCATCTGCTGCACCTAAATAGGGATCCCCCACCCAGCTATACAGACACCCCCCCCCAACCCGGGACCCCCTCTGCACCCATGCAGGGACCCCTGCACCCATTCAGGGATTCTTGTAGGGACCGTATTCCCATATTCCCATATAGGGACCCCCCCCTGCAACTCACATAGGGACCCCAGCACCCATATAGAGACTCTCTTCACCCGTATAGGAACCCCTGCACCCATACAGGGACCCCACAACCTGTATAGGGACCCAGAAGCCGCGTGGGGATGCTAGGGGGCCCAGTGCCCATATAGGTACCTCTGTATTCCTATAGAGACTCTCTGCACCTATACAGGGACTCTCTGCATCCATATAGGGACATCTACGCCTACCTAGGGGCCCTCGGCTGGTACCCCGGCACCCATATAGGGCCCCTTCCATCTATATAGAGATCCTCTGCATTCATATAGGGACCCCCTGCACCCATACAGGGATCCTTGTACCCACATGGAGACCTCAGGCTGGGACCTCCACATCCATATGGGCACCCACTGTCCCATACCGGGACCCTGGGCTGGGACCCCCTGCACCCACACATGGACCTCGCAGGGACCCCTGCCCCCGCACCCTCACACCGCGCCAAATCCTGAGCCACTTTGTGTCTGGGACCAATCCTCCCCACCCCAAAGCTCGGGGACCCCCCAGGAGGGGGACCCTCAGCTTCTTCCCTCCCCTGCAGCTGCAGTGGGGCTGCACTGGTATGCACTGGGCTGGTACTGAGTTGGTACTGGTCTGGTGCTGGGCTGCACTGGGCTGGCACTGGGCTGGCACTGGGCTGCACTGGGCTGTACTGGGATGCACTAGGCTGTGCTGGGCTGCTGCTGGACTGCACTGGGTGTTACTGGGCTGCACTGGGCCAGCACTGGTCTGTGGATCCAGGCCAAGGCTCTTGCTGGAGGCATCCCCTCCTTCCCCCACATGTGGGGGATGCCTGGGAACCCCCCCAGTCCTGCCAGTGCACCCAGCAGCCCCCCGCCCTGGCTGGATCCTTGGGGAACAACCACTGCAGAGAGGATTTCGGGGTGCTGGCACAGGAGCCCTGGCTGCCGCCTGCTGGAGTCCTTGCTGCAGGGTGCTGGGGTGCTCACTGTGGGGTGTGGGGGGGCTCACTGCAGGGGGCTGGGGTCCTTGCTGAGGGGTTGGAGTGGGGGCTCAATGTTCCCAGGAGCTCGAGGGGAGACAGGACAAGCTCACGGGCAGAACCTCTCACAAGTGCACCTATTTCTGTGCGTGCACCCACGCACATGATGCCATGCATACACCCCCACCCGACCCCTGCACAGCCCTGCGGGGCAGAGCTGGTGTCCCCTGCTCAGAGCCACCGGGGCTGGCCAGGGAGTGGGGAGGGACCTCAGAAGAGCTCTTTGCACCCACACCTGCCACCCTGTGCCTGGCATGGATTGGTTCACACTCGCCTCCCTGGGTCTGCAGCTTTGGGGCATGCTTAGCACGCTTCTGACATCCACTTGCACCCCCCTGTATGACACTTGCATCCCTCCTGTAGCCTTCCTGCATGCCCTGCATCCCTCCTGCACCCCCCTGCATCCCTCCTACATCCCTTTGCATCCCTCTGTATCTCTCCTGCATCCCTCTGCATCCCCCTGTATCACACCTGCACCCCTCCTTTACCCCTCTATATCCCTCCTGCATCTCCCTGTATCCTACCTGCATCCCTCCTGCACCCCCTGCATCCCTCCTACATCCCTTTGCATCCCTCTGCATCCCCCTGTATCACACCTGCATCCCTCCTGTATCCCGCCTATATCCCTCCTGCATCTCCCTGTATCCTTCCCGCATCCCTCCTGCACCCCCCTGCATCCCTTCTGCATCCCTCCTGTACTCCCCTGCATCCTTCCTGCATCCCTCCTGCAGCCCACCTGTAGCCCCCTGCATCTCTCCTATATCCCTCCTGCATCCCCCTGCATCCATCCTGCACCCCCCTTGCATCCCTCCTGCATCCCTCCCATATCCCTCCTGCATCCCCCTGCATCCCTCCTACATCCCTCCCGCAGCCCCCCTACATCCCCCACCTTCCCCCCTGCCTCTGCAGGCGCTCCTGCATCTCCCTGCATCCCTCCTACATCCCTCCCGCAGCCCCCCTGCATCCCCCACCTTCCCCCCTGCCTCTGCAGGCGCTGTCACTCTCCCCCTCACCCCCCATCTCCCACCTCCCCGGTCCCCGGAGCTATCTCGGTGCCCACAGCACCCGCAGGACAGTGGGGTGTAGCTCAACAGCCCCCACACCACCCCTGGGGCTCTGCTGGGCAGGAGTGGGGAGATCCCTGGGAAGAGGGAGCGAGGGGACAGGCGGGATGGGGGGCAGAGGAGGCAAAGGTGGCGATGGAGGAAACGTCTCCTGCCTTTGCCGGCAGCACGCTGTTATTGTAGGGTTGTGTGGGCAGCGAGCTCTGTACCCAGCCTGTTATTGTAGGGTTGCAAGAGAAATGGGTTATTTACCCACAGTGTTGTTACAGGGCTGTGAGAAGTGGGTGATACCCCCCGAGCTGTTATTGTAGGGTTGCACAAGCACTGTGCTGCGTACCCGACCTGTTATTGCAGGGTTGCACCATGCTGCATACTCAACCTGTTCTTGTAGGGTTGCACGAGCACCAGGTTGTGTACCCCGAGCCGTTATTGTAGGGTTCCCCTGTGCTGTGCCCCCCCCCTCAGGCAGGGCAGCCCTTGGGAGCACCCACCCGAGGGCGACCAGGCAGCACCCACTGTTCGGGGTCGGGCTGAGCCCAGCGGGACGTAGGGTCTGGTGCCGGCAGGATCCAATTTTCCCGCCCGCGCCCCGGGAGGCCCCCGCCGCCGCTGCTGCTGCTGCGTCGCCGCCGGCACCTCCGGCTGCATCTCGGGATGCGCGACCATCCCCGTCCCCTGCCGAGCTCCCGTGGGGTGTCCCGTGGGGTGACGGAGCGAAGCAGCCCATCGGGCTTCACCGGGTTTGCCCCAAAAGCGCTCAGGGCGCAGCAGTGTTGTCCCAACCCTGGGGCAGGGGGTGTTTAGGGGGGGTGAGGGT